AAAGAAACCATGAAAATTCAGACCAGCTTTTTTTATAAGCAACAACCTCGAGCAAGAATTTCCCAAGACTAAACCCCCAGTCCCCAAAGCCCCCCAGCCACAACAGTGTGAATTCCTCAGGAAGGTGCCAGTCTCATCCTTTTGTTCCTCCCACGCGGTTCTGGTGAGTAAGAAAATGCTTATCTCCCTGAGCTTGGCCTTCCTAATTCCATTCCATCACAATACATTCCATCACAATGGTCCACCCCCTGTTTTCCACTATATCTCCCTCTACCCATCACCACATTTGCCTGCCCCTCCCTCACCCCCACCCCCACCCCAATCTTCCTTGAGCTTAGCTGCTCCACTCCTATGCCAAAGAGCCTCAACATACTACCCAACATAGCAACTACACCAACAGTGACTGGTACTAGCCTCAGGGAAGCTTCTGCCTCACACTCAGCTTCCCTCTGCTTAGGCACCAGCTACTCCACCACTTTCTTGCACAACCTCACATCAACTTATAACCCACTCCACCCAACCCAACCAACCCGCCCCACCCTAACCCATCCTGCTCTCACCTGAGTGGGGAGGAGCCACACCAACCTACAAGGCAAGGGTAACCCAGAGTTTGCCCCTGCCCCTCACCCAAGCAGAAACAGCAGCAACAGCCCACAAAAATGACTCCTCCAGCAATCCCACCAACCCCCCTCAGTCCATAGCTCTAAAATCCAACAACCCACAGTCCCGCCTCCTCCAGATGATACAGGGGAAAAGATCCTTAGAGTTGGTTGTAATAAAAGTTTGGGAGGGTGCTCGCTGCAGCAATCCACCAAGATGGAAGAAAGTGGCAGCAAGGATGGTACTGGCAAAATGGCTGCTACTCCATGTGGTTAGTCCGATGGCAGCTGCAGCATGCAGGCTAATCCCGCTCGAAAGCCCCTCCCTGCTCTTGTTCCCACTGCCATCCCATGCCAAAAGCTGGAGATGAGCAGAAGCCAGATAAATCCTCCTCTGGCTGCTCACAAAAAAGGAAGCTGATGCTTACTTAATAGCTGACAATTGGAATATGGCTGGGATGATTCTAATTTTCTAAGACCTCAGTTCTGAATCATTTCATTATTGTCTCTGCTCCTGTCTACCCTGTCCACTGATACTCCAGTTCTTGAACTGAATCTACTTTTGGAAACTAGCTGCCTATTCTCACCTTCTTCCTTGAACCTTATGCATAAGCCTCCAGTTGTTTGCTGGCTCCGATGTTAGTTATTGATTTCTTGACTTTTTCATCTGGTTACTGGCAGCCTGGCAGCTTTACTCTAGGCAGGACAATATCATTAAAAAATTCTGCCCTTATTAAAATGAGCGCTAAAGCATTAAATGCAATCTAATCTGATTCATGGGATAAATGCACTGTGGCAGTTTATATTTTAAGGACCTTTATTAACATAGTTTATTTTGCAATTAAATATGCATTTGATGGTCATTTGTTGCACACTGCTTTTATGCCTTTTTTGATGAATATCATTTCTAATAAGAATACAACATTCTGCAAACAAGATTTGGTGCCTCAAAAATGCAGTATTCTCTTGAGATGTGTGTTCATTCCTATGACTGCAGCATTGAATATGTTACATAAAGCAGTAAGGCTCAAATGAACTTTTTAAATGAAACCAGTAAAAAGAAACTCAGTTTTTCTCAACTATTTTTAAAATACACACGTATGTTCAATTTAGCATTCAGACAATGTTTATTTACTGTTAGACTTGTGTACTTTACATACAATATCTCATTCTATACGTCTAGAATACATTTTCATTTTATTGTATGTGTCCCGTCTGTCCTCCTTATTTTTGACCAACAAAAGTGTAAATCCAGAGCCAGCTCCCCTGAACTATGAAACCTTTGACCCTGATATTAGGATGCAGTTGAGCCAGTGGCCAATTACCCTTGCTACTCCAGCTAGCCTTCAGCCTGCCTGATCCAGAGTTACTTTTGGTTGTAAGAGACAATAATTCTTCATTTGGATCTACCCTGGCCACTAGGCAACATACTTTCCCTTACCACCATCCCCAAATGAAGAGCAACAGCTTCCCTACTGGCAGGAAAGGAAGATATAAATCATAAAAAATATAAACAAATAAAACCAGAGCTGCTATCCAAAGTACCCAAATGCCCACTTTCAATGGTACAGTAACAGAGCTTGATTAACAATATTCCAACGTTCTCAAAGAATTAGCTAAAAGATAAAAAGCTCACCCATTCTTATTGTCCACTCACTTCAGCCAACGCTGCAAGAAGTGATTCCCCATTTGTCAAAGGTTTAGGTCTTATGGGGGCAGGCAGTAATCCACTGAGATTTGAAGGCTGAAACTTACTCTTTCCTAGTTGTTTGAATAAATATTAACTGAGATAGAGATTCACTGCCTCCTAATGAAGTCAGGAGTTCTGGAGAATATATGGATTCTTCTTCAGCTTTCTAGATGAATAAGCACTGGTTCAACAAAGAAATAGCAGGGAGTACAGTATGTAGGACAGCAAAACTGGAAGGCTATACCCATTCCAGTTTTAACCTATTGGAGAGCAGGCTTTTTTTTCAAATGGATTCTTCTACTAGACTCCAAAAGGGCTATGTTGTTTACAGTTGCAATGACTCTGCTGTATGCAGGTCAGAGCCTTGATGCAGCAAGTCTCTGGAGTTCAGGTGATTCAGTGAGAAAAGCTGTATGGTAGCCTGGCAGATACTGCATTGACAGGGTGGAGAAGATGTCTGTCTCGGCATGCAGAAGAGCTTATTTTATCCCTAGACTACACTGATGACTGAAGCAGAATATTAAGTAGCAGTTTTTGGTTTCATGCTCTCTGCTTACAATTTTGCAGAGAAAGAGAGATCTACCTTGTATATCACATATTGGAATAAGGAAAGGGCCTGGTTGTTTATGGCAAATGATGCTGTAATATGGAGCAAGATGAACCTCTGTCCCAAACAAGGCGAAAATACTGCCCCTTCTTAGGGGGCTCCTCCCTCTTTTTGGTGACAGGGGCAATAATGGACTTAAAGTGGGCATCAAAGTAACTTGTATTGACAGGAACAAAATTGTTATTCAGCTAATTTAGGAACATTTTGAATCACTGAATTGTGTACATAAATGCTAAATAAAGTAATTCCTTTGTGGGGTGGAGGAACAGAAATCCACATGGATTTATGTTACTTATCAACCAGGTTATTTAAATTATATTCTGTTACCCTTGGTTTTTGAGGATGCAATTCTACATTCCCATTTCTACTTTGGAGTAAAGATGTGAGGCTTCCTCATTTGTATAAAATATTGTGGTTGTTTCTTTTCTTTCCTTTGCTCAGCTTTGGCAAAAATAAATAAGACTCAGTTTAAATAAAATTTATCATATCTTGCCTTGCTTGATTTTCTCTTTTCAAACCTGTTTTTTCCCCTTTCCGACTTATTGTAACTTGATATCCAACAGACGTCTGAAGACAGTCACCCAGATTCTGGAGTCCTTGTAGACTGACATTGTCTCATTTCTCCTGCTTTGCTTTATTAGTACCCATAATTTTCAATCTCAGTGGGAAAAGAAGCAAGGCTATCCACTTAGGCAGCTACTTACCTTCAAAACGTTCCATTTGAACTTCTTTACTACTCCTTACTTTCTTTCTGTTTCGAAGTCTGATAGAACGATAATATATGGAATTTCTTCGAATAGGAATATAACGTGCCTCTGGTTCTTTCTCAGTTATATTGTCAGATGCCTCAGAATCATCATCAGAGATCAAGTCCAGGCTTGATATTGCCTGTGGAGGACTATCCTTCTGGATACCATTGGCTGATCTCCCACGGTGTCGTTGTACTTCTTCCAGTTTTTCTGTCTCCATAGCAACAAATTTTATTGTTTAATAACACGGAAGCAAACGAGGAAACTTTGCAAATTCCATCAGAACTCTGCTTTAGAATTAAAAAAGAAAGTAAAATGTATTTTTGCATGAAGAATAAATTGTTCTTTGAAAACAATTTAGAAATTGATACCCTTCTTGATTATTTATTATTCCCTACCCCTTTAAGATCATTAAGCAATTTGAAACATTAATTGAAAGTAGAATCACTCATAATGCTTTCAGAACATTGATCTGGACTATGATTCATGATTGTCTTGATCCCACAATCTGCCTTGCTATGAACTGCAATTTCATGGAAAAGTTATGTATTAAAACCAAAATTTAACTTACGCTTCAATAGAATTTACTTTTTAATGAAAAACATTACAACTAATGTTTTAGAATATTCAAACACAAGATTCTTGAAGAAACACATTTCTGATCTAGTTGGATTATCTCCAACAAAAACAGAAACAGCACAAAAATAAGCTAAACAGAGGTTAGAAATAGCTAGAAACAATTTAGGTAACCAAACTTAAAATCCTAAACCAAAATTTTGTTTCCCAGCTTTCATCTGTTATGTCATGTGCCTCTCTTCCTTCAGCAAGGTTATATGGTATTCAATACACTTGTACAACAAGTCAGCCTGATCAATAGGGAAGTCTGGTTTGACTAGGATTACCAGACTTCCAGGAAAAGGAGGACATGTCCTCCTTTTTGTCCTCATGTCCTCCATCCAGCAGGCATAGCCTTTAAATCAAATATTCTCTTGCTTTTGAGTATCTCTTCCCGAGCAGCTTTTCTCCACAGCATAGTGCTTCCCTAATAAGTGCTAAAGCAAGTGAACAAGCTCTGTGCTGCCACCTTGATTAGTTGATTTGTACCCTCCCTCCTGCTGCCTGAAATTGACAAGACCTTAATCAGTTATATGCTGAAGGCTTTTGCCTCCTAACTGCTCTTTCCTGTGGTTGAAAACCAGTCTTTCTGATGCTGGAAAATGTAATCTTATATACATGTAGGCCTAAGTACTTTTTTTTGCAGTTTTTTTCCTGTAATTTTTGTCACAGATGCCAAGAAAGTTAAACAATGTGTCCTCCTCCCCACCCCCACCCCACCATTTGTCCCCCTTTTCTTGTCTGTGTCCTCCTTTGCTTGTTCAGATGTTCAGATATCTGGTAAAACCTACCTTCAACTGAGTTCTGCTGTTAGTGTTTGAACCTAGGTGTAACCCAAAGTATAACCCAAATGCCAGCCTTTCTGAACTCAACCAAAATCATTAATAGTAATAATTATCAAATCCCAGTAACAAGGATTAGAAAGTTTGTATATCTTACAGCCTTTATTTCCAGGTCCTAAACTGAAATCAGACTATAAACTGATTTCTTTATAGTCAGCAAAGGTTTCCAGGGGTTTATCAGTTGTGGACAAAAACTGTTGGTGGTTTGATTGGAAAAGTCATATCAAATCAATCCAGCTTTTACTACATATAACAACATTTTGCTTTACAGATTAAGAAAAGTAAGGCTATTTTTATTGCCTCCATTCATGTATTCTAGCAGACAGTGGACATGAATCCTTTGAACTGTTTAATTTCTGTTTGTCTTTTCTCTTCCACATACATTCCCCAACAAGTGAAAACTTTAATATCTTTGACTATTGTGACAGGCACCTTACTAGTCTTGTAAAAGCTTCCCACAGCAAAAAAAAGCAATTACACGTTAACTTAGGTACACCCATGCTCCTTGCTGCAATTTTATTCTTTTACACCTTAAAATATCTTTATTGAAATTTTAATACCATAAATATCCAATAAGTATATTAAACAGGAGTAAGCAACCTTTTGATGGCCAAGAACCATATATTTGAAAGGGCTGAGAGCTGGAAAGTGTTTAGGGCTAGATGACGTATCTGCAAAAGACAGTCTATTTGGAAAGAGTGATATGCCTATTTTAGGGATCACATTATGATTCCTGTTTGCTACATCAAAATGATGCAGAACTGTGCTTTTCCTTTTTCACAATCAGAGGGGGTTTTGAAAGCCACTCAAAGGGGACTCTAGAAGGCTGCATACCACAGTTGGAATTTCCAAACACAATAAATTGTTTAGATTTTAAATCTAAAAGTGCTAATTTATTCTAAGTTTAATTATCATTACTCCTGTTTTTTAACTATGACCTTCAATTATCTGAGGTTTTTAAATGCCTTATGTGTTAATGTTAACAGTTTCAGATGTTACATCAAATACTAATTTCAGCTAATTATAGTCTAAAATTGAGAATATGATTTGAGATTGGAAATATATCACAAGTTAACCATGATATGGAAATGCTTTTTTCCTATCCTCTCAGAACTCATAAGATGTCTCCTGTTGCTATGGTGGAACTGCTTCTGGAGAGAGAGCTAAACACAATTTATCCACATACGTACCATGCTAAACCATAGTTAGCATAAACCATGACTTCCAAACTCACTTCAAATTAAGGTTATTTAATTTGACTGCCTGACCACAAACCAAGGAAAATTGTTTTACATATTCATCTTATCTAAAGTTTTACATTCGTTACCATATTTTATTAATACTTTGCAAATAATGGTTTCATCTGCAGTGCTGCTTTGCCATCTTTCTTCCCATTCGAGAGCCAAAAGAAATCATGCTCACATAAATTATGCTGACCCTACTGAGTGCCCTCCAAGTGCATCTGGAATGGGATCATGCCACACTTGTCAGTCCTATAAGGTAGACCAGACTATGAAACCAATCCCATATATGTCTAAAACTACTTTTCTTGGAACAGCTATTGTACCAGGATCTTGCAAGTCCGAATGTACTTCCCTCCTCCCTCATTGAATTAGGTGCCTGTCTGAGGCATTTTCTCAAGTTCATTTCTTGGAATGGGTGCAAGCTGTGCTTGTCTGATCATTGCCTTGGTAGCGGCTCTTCCTCCTGTCTTTCAAGGCAATTCCCTATGCTGAGAGGACAGAGGACAGAGATTACTCAATTAAAATAGCATATTAGATATATAGGATAAATATAGAAGAAGAAGTCCAGATTCTTCACCTCTTACTTCAGTACTAAACATTTATTTCCATGAAGATGAATGAACAAAAAAATATCAGTGGAGAGATTTAATCTTGAGTAAAACAAAGATGAAAATTTTGAGTCTCTCTCCCTAGAAGGGTCAGAAATACTTCATTGGTTTCAGTTTCTTTAAATAAATAGTATAGTTCAAAAGGAATTACAAAAACAAGGTGAAACACTCAGAGACCTGACCAAATTTGAATGGCTTATAACAAAAAATTCAGAGTACAGTACCTGTTATTTGCAGGTTGTTACTGAAATACGATTCAGAAATTGAACAAGACAAAGATTATATGATTAAACGATGCATAATTTAAACAGAATAATTGATATGCAACAATGGAATACCCATGGAAGTTAAATATAAAATTCAATGCAAATATAACAGAGAAAATTAGGATGGGCATTCCCCATCACACAGGCCTACAGAACTACGAGAGCTGAGTTTTTTCAATTACACTTTCAATTACATGAACCAGCAACAGGCTAGTCAGTTTCAGAGCTTCTGACTCTACAACTGTGGGTTGCCCAACCTGTGGAAGAAAGAAAAGGAAAGGAAATGGCAGTGGAAGCTGGGATTCTGATCTCCCTTGTAGCCTAAACAGCCCTGCAGAACAGACCAGAGTGTGGTCCCCCAGCAAACTTGCCATGCCAGTTGTAGCTAAGGATATTGGTGCCCCCAAACAGGTCACCGTTGCCCAACCTGTGGAAGAAAGAAAAGGAAAGGAAATGGCAGTGGAAGCTGGGATTCTGACCTCCCTTGTAGCCTAAACAGCCCTGCAGAACAGACCAGAGTGTGGTCCCCCAGCAAACTTGCCATGCCAGTTGTAGCTAAGGATATTGGTGCCCCCAAACAGGTCACCTCAAACCTCTACCATGAACCATGGTTTGTTCAGATGGGAAATCTTTCTCTGTTTTCCTGGAAAAAATGCCATTTTCATGCCACAGCATCCTGGACCAGCTGTAGTCTACCTTAACAGTGAGATGGAGGCTTCATTGTGAGAAAATGTACTCAGGAAATAGTAAGCAGGACAACATTGTGCCACAGAAGATCTCCATGACTGATTTTTAGTGGAGTTTCCAAGCATTAATTGACCTTAGTATTGATTTCCACTTCATTCATGACTTTAAAAAATCATGGTCAAAGAAAAGTATTTCAAAGAGAGACTCCAGTTCATTCATGGGTCCTGACCTGTGGAATATACTCTCTGCTTTGGTATACCAGACCCAGACTGATGTATTTCCTTATGTTTTATGTTGGATTTTCCCAACTTTTAACTCTTCTAATGGATTGGTTATTCTGGTTTTTTACTTTTTTCTTGTTTTTAATTCTTGTTTTCCTTTTGTTTTCATAACGTTATTATGAATTGTTTTGGATTTCTAGAATAAGTAGTGGTATATAGATATTACTGCTGCCACTACTCCTCTTCCTCCTATAAATAACCATACTAAGTGGAGGTTTACTGAAGAATTTCCTATTTTTCACTGACCATGAAAATGTTTCCTGATGTTTAGACATGGCCTACCATGTCTGGATTCAATTTACAGTTTAAGGTATTTTAGGTGAGGCTGGCCATTAGTTTTTGATGACATTTGCATTATGAGTCATCATGCGAACCTGAGGTTATCTTCGTCAGGATTTGGCAGCCCATAAATATCTCGATAGTAAATAGTATGCTTGCGTGATTGATTAGATTGGCCTGGATGGTGCTGCATCCAATATAAAAAGAGGAAAATGAATTATTAGATTTCAGAAGAGTCTCTTTGCTTCTGAGGATTGAAATAGAGCTTAAAGTGATTGAATAGTACACTAACAGGGTAACAGGTCCTGAATAGAGGGTGGTTGCTGCCAGTGCAACAGGGCAAAGGTGACTGGAATATGGTTGCCAAATTTTAGTTTAAAAGAAGAAAGAGATGTTAGTCTTCAGAAGGTAGAATAATAATTTTACAGGATGTTGGCTAAGCTTTGTCTTCAGATATGGATTTCTAGA